ACTGCTGAACTGTGCATTAGTGCTCACCGTAGAAGTATACCTACCCTGGTAATAAATATTTACGGCTTCCCAGGTACCGGTAAAACCTACCGGGATTACACCGGCCAGCGGTGTCGTACCTGTTGTAGCGCATATATTGGTAATATCGGCACCAGCCGTAAAGCTGGCAGGGCGCGGATGAGCGGTAATGGTCACATCACTGGTAGCAGTACCGGTACTACAGGTACGGGTAAGTCGGAAGGTATAGTTACCGTCTGCCGTCATACCTGTAATATTGGTAGTCAGATTGTTAGGAGAAGCAATAGTTGGCGTGGCTGGTCCGGAAACAAAAGTCCACAAAGGTGAATTCAGTGTTCCCAGAGTGCCACTGACGGCACCTGTGAGCGTTGTGCTGCTGCCGCATACAGTCGCATTACCGCCGGCATTGGCGGTACAGCTTTGTGCATTAGCCCGGGTTGCCCCTGATAATACAAGAATAAAGATGGCAATGAGTCTTGGGAAGACCGTTTTACCTGGTAGCATCGACCATGAATGATGCCTTGAAATGTGTATTTTGCCCTTTGTTGGATTGCACTCCATAGTGTGATTTTTGAATATGTATTGATTAATTGTTGTTTGACCCATTTTCTTACGAAAGCCTTTTAACCCTTGCCGAAATCCGGAATATTTCGTCTTATAATGTGGTCTGGTTATGTTTGTTTGCGCCCGGGGAAAAAGGGACCCGATTACTACATTTGATGCTATTATTTTATTTATTCCAATCAAATAAGAAGCAAAATTGCTCCGATTAAGGAGCTTAAATTGAAAATACCGCGAATGTTCTATCTTATCATATTGAACTTTTCCAATACTGTCACGATAATTTGACATTTAAATAGATTCAAATTCTACAAGCTGTCATATCTGACAATTATACATTATAATATCTATAACTTAAATTAAATTCATTTGCGTACCGGTATAAATACACCCTTAGTTTTGAGTATTTTATGATATCTGGAAGGTGCTTCGGGCTTTACCGGCAAATAGACATTCACTATTTCATACTGCATCCAAAAACACTATTGTAAGCACCGATTGATAGGCCCATGCCTGGCTGGTTTTAACTAACCAGTGTTTGCCGGTTGAAATTGACCCATCAAAAAATCATAATGCTTTTGCGTTACA